AGTCCCCGATAAGCATCTGGACTACATTTGGGCTTGCCAGGTAAATGCTCAAAGGTGGGGTTGAACTCTTGGATAGCAAGGTCCAACTACTAACCCCCCAGTGGTTTTTGTTCTGGAAAAAGGGTATCAGTGGGGGCATGATCTGTCAAAACATGAAAAGGTACTGATTAAAAAATGCTCGGAAAAACTTTAAAGGGCCTTTTCAAATTTCTAAAGCTTCTTGCCCCAGTTACTGTTTTAAATTTCGGTTTTAGCCTTGTAAGGACTCGGGTAGCAAATGCAAAAAACGTTGTCTTGCCATCGGTTTTTCTGAGTAGTACCCGGGACCTATGCCAATTTAACTAGCATCAGTTGTTTAAAAAAGAAAGGCTTTTGAAAAATCTGGGGAAAATTTTAAAAATTGGGAGCGAAAGTTAGCTTTTCTTTTAGAGTTTGGAAGCTCTTTCTTGACGGAAGGTCCAAAAAAAAAGGGGCAACTTTCTTAAACAAAATCGGTTTAAAAGGGGAAACTATGGGAAAAAAAAATTGGGAAAGAAAGATCTATAAAAACCTGCTAAGCCCCCAAAAGGGTTTTTACGGCATCAGCAGTTTTGGGGGTTGGAAATTTAAAACTGGGAGTTACTTTTTCTTGGTCAGTTTGTAACCCTCTAGGAAGGGCTACGTGACCCAAAAAACTTTTAAATTTTTGATCTGGAAAAAAAGACATTTAGAAAAGTTTGATCTTTTAAAATTGGCTTCTTCAAGCTTACCAATTTTACATCAAGTCTTTTCAAGTGTTATCCCGTCTTTTTAGACATGCGTTTTTGTTTTATCTAAGTAAAACCATAAGTGCATTAAACCCATGAGACCTCCCAAAAAATATTAGTCATGAGCCTTTAAACGTGAAAGGGAAGATCGTAATCCAAATGCCATTTCGGAGGAAATGATAAAGACCGGGAAAGGGGTGGAGAATGCATTTTGCCTTTTGGGTGTTCCCCGTGAAGAGGGGGGTTGCCAAAAAACCCTTTTAACAAATCTAGGGGTTTAAAAAACTTTGTTATCTCCGATATTTTCGTAAAAGATCACCCCGTCCCGGGAGTGGAAAGCCCATTGGAAAAGGTTTTCCCCCGTTTTAAAATTTCCCAAAGTAATTTACTGGGCGCCAAGTACCAAACCCTTTTTAGGTACTGTATCTGGGTGCATTCAAGGGGAAAGAAAGGGGCAATAACCCCCATTTTTTTAAGGGATTTTATTTATCAATTTTTCTGCGACAAACAACTTGGAAAGAGGCATCTGTACGCAGGTATGTAGTAGGTCTGGTAAACCCGGTTTAAGTGGAAATTTCGATTTGGGCAATAAATTCGTTATACCCTCTTCCCACCTGGAAGCAATGGCTTTTTCGCGTTTTTTTCAACAGAGCAACAAAAGCTTGACTTCACTGGGAAGTCATTGGGGGGCTAAGTTTTTTCTCCTCAAATGGGGGAACGATTGATCCAGTGAAGTGGATGAGGTTTTAATTTGGGGGGGTTTTGGGGGGATTGTTGTGTATCTTTATACTAAAATGCTTCTAAAAATGTTTTTATTCTGAGCACCCCTGCAAAAACATGATAAAGGTGGGTGTGGTGAAGTGTTGAATGATGATGAAAATATTTTCTTTTTTGGGGGTTTTCTTTCTTTTTTTTGGGGCACCCCGCCCCGGTGGGAAACGGCTGACTTGTTAAAAAAAAAAAAAAAAAATGACAGGGAGCATCTTTACCTTTCCTTGGTTACATACTAATTTTCTAGAAATTGGCCCGGCAATGTTTTGACATGCTTGGGGTAAAATATAAAAATCTTTGAAGCATGGGTAGGAGAGTGAAATTGCTGACAGGGCAGCAGTGGGGAAAATGACACTTGATGATCATTCCCCTTCCCTTGGGGTGTGTTTGTTTTCATGTTACCAAATGCCTGTCTTGGGCCTGTCTAGCTCTATCTCGTTTTTTTCTGCTCTGCTTTTCCCTGTGTGTCTGTCTTTTTTGTTTTGCTTGTCCCCTCTGTTTCAGAGAGAGAGCCGTCATAAAACAACGGGTATTACACACGATTTATTATGCCTTTTATTTTGCAAGCAAAAGTATACACTTTGTCTGGATTTTTTTTTTTTTAAAAAGTCGGTTTTCTTCCACCGAGGGAGGGGGACCCCCAAAAAAAAGAAAAAAACCCCCCAAAAAAAAAATATTCCATTTATCATTCAACACTTTCACCCCAACCCCAACAAATGACTTTTTTTTTGGGAGAGGTGCTCCCGAATAAAACAGTTTTAGAAGTTTTATGTATAAAGATACAAAACTATTCCCCCAAAATGCCAATATCCCAAACCCCCCCTTTAAACCCCTTTTAGGGTCGACAGGCCCTCTCCGAAACTCGTTCTCAGGGGCGGCCAAAATTTAAAAAAAAAAAATTATTTTCTCTTATGAAAAGAAAGAGAAAACTTTTTTTCCCTCATAAAAGACACCCAAAAAATTTTAAATTTGATTTGAAAACTTAGGAATTATGCTCTCGCCAAAATTAGCGGTCCGGGGAATTTTACGGGTCGGCGATTTTGTCCACTTTTAGCCCCCTTTTCGGCCAATTTCACTGTACAGTTGACAAAAAAAAATGAATATTTTTGCTAGAAAATCATTTTTTCATCGGAATTTGGGGGCAAGAAACCACCCCTTTATAAATTCAACTATCCAGAAAACAGTGGTCAGAAAATTTGCAATTTTGCCAATTTCACACAAATTTCAAAAGTTGCCAATTTGGAAAAGGGTCCCCCCAAAAAAAAAAGAAAGAATTCCGGCCTAAAATGACATTTCCTCTAGTCATTTTCCCCGTCTCAAGGCCCCTCTTATATTCTTTTACTTTCCACTTTTAATTTTTATTCTCACAAAAAATATAAGATTACTGTTATGCAGACTACTGCATTAGTGTAAAAAAATGGTATAAATATTATTGTGCACTTGTGAAAGAACATTAGACTCACCAGTTGACGTGTATTGCACGCTTGGCACGATTTGTTTACTTTTGAAGTTTGGTAAAAATCGAACATTTCTGCTACTTTGAGCTCAATTTCAAGGCACCTTTCATTGTAAAACCAGTCAAAATCATCTCAATTTCAGTAATATGTCTTCCATTCTATAAAATGAGACCAAGGAAAACTAGAATACAACAATAAATACTATACGAAAATACACTGCAAAGTCGCTGATTTATTAAAAAAAAATGGAAAAAGTTTTTTTTTTCTCATTATGCACCGTGTGCTGCAGGATTTTTTTTAGACTGTGCACACTGACCACATAGACCCATTCTTTCATATGAAGGCCTACCAGCTTTCTCCCACTAGATTTGAGGTCGCTAGAATTTATGAGTACTAGTACGTCAAAAACCCCTACGCGTAAGACGTACTAGTACGACGAAAACCCTCAAAGGGTTAAAGTGCAGGCATTGTACTTCCCATTTCCAGGACTCGGGTCCGGCTATATAAAAATAACTGATTTTCCTGAATCCCTTCACTAAATATTACCCTTCTCACACTCCAACAGCTCATCAGGTCCCAAAACCCATTCGTTTCCATTCACTCCTATCTAACATGCTCACGCACGCTTGCTGGAAGTCCAAGCCCCACGCCCACAAAACCTCCTTTACCCCCTTTCTCCAACCCTTCCAAGGACGACCCCTACCCCGCCTTCCTTTCCCTATAGATTTATATGCTTTCCATGTCATTCTACTTTGATCCATTCTCTCTAAATGACCAGACCACCTCAACAACCCCTCTTCAGCCCTCTTGACTAATACTTTTATTAACTCCACACCTTCTCCCAATTTCCACGCTCCAAATTTTCTGCATAATATTTACATCACACATTGCCCTTAGACAGGACATCTCCACTGCCTCCAACCATCTCCTCACTGCTGCATTTACAACTCAAGCTTCACACCCATATAAGTGTTGATACCACTATCCTTTCATACATTCCCTTCTTTGCCTCCATAGGTAATGTTCTTTGTCTCCACATATACCTCAATACACCACTCACCTTTTTTCCTTCATCAATTCTACGATTAACCTCATCCTTCATAAATCCATCCGCTGACACGTCAACTCCCAAATATCTGAAAACGATCACTTCTTCCATATTCCTCCTCTCCAATATGATATCCAATTTTTCTTTATCTCAATCATTGATACCCTCATCACCTTACTCTTTTCTATGTTCACTTTCAACTTTCTATCCTAGGTAATTTACACTATATGTAACTGTATTTATATATAGCTGTGAGACAGATATAGACAGACAGACAGACAGACCCACCCACCCAGCCTGCCAAACATATTACACATGTTCCAGAATTGTTTCTTTTTATTTAGGCCATAGGTTATAGGGCATTCTGGCAGACTGACACTACCAGTGGTATCAAAATTGAAAGGATGTTGCGCAGATGTTGCACAGGGGTTATTATCAATTTTTTTTCATCTTTCCTCGACCACTTGTGGCCATATCCATCTCAAACCCACTAAACTCAGGGTCATCATCACTTTCTTCTTAAAAAAAAGGTGTTTTAAATTGACAGACATCAGGACCCCTGGTGTTTGCCATGCTGTTTGCTCTAGCTGGAGCTCAACTGAGCTGGTGCTCCCACATGGTACTAAGTGGTCCCAAATTTTTTAATACTGTGCACACCGAGTGTTATGACCCATTCTATACTGACCAGGCATCTCAGACCAATCATGCCAAATTTGGAGGCAGGAAAAATAAAATGTTGATCTATGTTTGGAGCGCAAGCGGTAACGTAGATATACATTTGGACAGTTAAGGGGTTAATTATTGTAGCCCTTAAAGGGAGGTGCCATGATACTGGTGAAGGACTTTTGATCCAAGGAATTTGAGATACCTCCTCTTCCTTGGAAAAGCCAAGTTAATCCTTTTCCGGCCCGGATATGAACATTAAAGATTTAGTTTCCCATGGCTATAATAACTGTAGATACCAATTTTTTTTCTCAGGATGTATGCTTTTGAGAGAGTTCGAGACAGTGGTGCTTTTCTAACTACAAGTGAATCTGTCATCCTTGGTTTAGCAGGTGGCTCTTCACACCCAATGTTCTAGCAGCTTCAGAAGATTTCGGGGAATCGGCCTGTACTGGGCTCTTGGCTGCTCGCCAACAAAATCTTGTAACTGCTATAACCGAAAGTATCTCTGGTGCAAAACTTTAATTTTCATAATGTTTTTAATATGAACTTGTTGTATATGGCTTCATATGTACCATTATAAGATCTTAACCCTTAAACTGTCCAAACGTAGATCTACATTTTTTCAACATTTGAAAATTGTAAAAAAAAAAGATCTTGTTTTTGTTTTTTTACTTTTAAAATTGAAAAAAAAACTTTGATCTGTAAAATGTTTCCCCCCCCCCCCCCCCCCCCCCCCAAAAAAAAATTTTTTTGGAGACTACGCTGGAAATAGATCTGTTTGGGGAGTTTAAGGGTTAATTGGGGAGAAACTAAAACCCTAGAGGTCTTTTTATCACTGTTAATGGGAGGTTTCAGGCTCGATTCAAGGGGTATAAGCCGTTCACGAATCAATATATTGGAGTTGTTTTAAATTTTATTTACACCCCTTTTAAAAGTTGCATTTGTCCCTTATTATTTTGTTTAAAGAATCATTAATCTAAAACATAATTTTAGCTTTTTGGGAAGCATAGTACAGTAAAAAGTTTTTATCGGAGGAAGGAGGGGGGTAACTAAAGTTCCTTTGATCAAGACCCCTTTGAAAACACTCAAAGGGTTACTTTATACCCAAGGTGCTACATATTACAAATTTTCATAATGTGTGTTCCCAGATATTTTATCAGTGCATATAGTTATCTTTACAAACCATACCATGGGCGGGATTAAACCCTGTGGTCAGAGAGTCTATGGTTTGTTTGCAATCGTGTCATTACGATTTCGTGAGTCATAGTTGTCTTTACATCTGGGTAGGTTGTACATGAAATCTATATTTTATATCAATTGTATTAATATTGGTAGAATTACCGACAATATGTTAAGAAAAAGGACACAAATGCAACTAATGTGACATTTTATTTTTGGGAAGTTTCGCTTTCCAGGAGCTTTATCAAGCCATTACAAACAATACATGGACACAGAGGGTATACACAGGCTTAGAGTGAGGTGTAAACTAGTGGTGGTAGTAGTAGAAATATTAGTTGGTTGGTAGTAATACAATATGTTGAACAGTCAACTTGCACTTTGAGTAAAAGGTTATAAAAGCTATTACTTGGGTAGCATAAAAAAAAGTTAGAAAATATTGACAGTTGGATTTGAGAAGGTCTGTTTCAGTGTTCCTCCTCTGTAATGAGTTTGTGTAGTATTAGCAGCAGAGACTATGTGATGGCAGGGTTTACTGTTTTCAGGAGGATTCTCACTAAGACCTCAGAAGTGATGAAGGTGTCTTTGTTTTTTTTTAATTGTGTTAGAAACTGCAGTTAATGCTGATTCGAGGCACTTGTACCTGCGGAAATTAGGTTCTTTGATTACTAATCAGGCGTCCCTGCGTACAACACCGAAATTCCGCCAATCATTTCATGAAATTCAGGGATGCCCGATTAGTGATCAAAGAACCTAATTTGCAGATGCAAGTGCCTTAAATCAACATTAATTGCAGTTTCTCACACAAACAAAAAAAAAGGCAGCTTAATCATCTCTGAGGTCTTAGCGGAATCCTCCTGAAAACAAAACATTTGTGTCCCTTTTTCTTAACATAATGTCAATTGATATCCTCCATTTTGTTAGATAACACAAATTGTAAATTAAATTTAAAAAAAGAGGCCTTATAATTCATTTTTTTTGTCCATAATTTAACCTCCAACTTACTGGATTATTTGGTGCTTTTTTCTATTTGAGCATTTTTTCTTTACTGTAAACCTTCAACTAAAATAGTAAACCTTTGGTAATGTCGGCTTTCATTCCCGAGAATAAGCACTGGGAAAAATTGCTTTACATGAAGCAAATGTATAGAAAAATAATGTTATGTTTCATATAATTAAAGCTAACCCACAGGAAAAGTGCCTTAATGCCAGTGATGTGTTCTTGATCCAAAGAATAGGAGCTACCTTTCCTTAGATAGAATCTGATTGCCTCCCTTTCCCAAAGGGCACTGTATGGCTTCTATGGGTTTAGCATCCCCCTCTTCCATGAAATTATTTAATGAGCACAGTGCTAACCCTTAGTGGTCATATAGTGCCTTGGAAAAAGGGAGGTAATCAGATTCAATTCAAGGAGAAGTAGCGCTTTATTTTTTTGGGTCAAGAGCCCTTTTAATAGCATGAAATAAAATAAAATTTTCTTTACGTGTACCAAACAACACTCAATAAATGTAGGCTGTCCTAAGGAAAGTTTTGGGGGAGGGCTAAGCTGCAATGTATTGCACATTAATATTTAAGAAAGTCTGGTTGCTAGGTTAGTTTGGTAAAGGAGAAAAATACAATGTTAATTTATGTAGCTGCATACAAAGCATGACTTGGCATGTGCACAACACCATAATAATCAGCTAAGTATGGTACACATTACATATACAGTAGGGCCCCTTAAGGGGTGTGACTAGCCCAAATGCAGATTCATATGCATTTTCTCTGGTGCTGGACCAGAGAAAACTTAATTTTTTCCTTCCTCCCGGCTACCTCATCCCCATAGCATGTTTATATGCTATGTAACATGTTTCTTATATAATTTTGAAGAAAATATCGTAGATGGATTAATAAAAATGTCTGTATTAATATAAAATAAGACATTTAATGTGCCCAAGAGTGATTATTATTACGTATTAGTATTATTACTATGGCGTTAAGACTAGAGGGATACTCTTAGTGATTTTAATGTGTACCTGCATGCCATCACTGTGTAAGTATATTTAGGTACAGGTACACATAAGTATAATTAAACAGAGTACATATAAAATATGCAATAACTTTAAAACACTTGAAATTTTGGAAAGTTTCCAGACATAATAGAGAGATGTGCTCACGGAGAGTTCGCCATATAGTTTTGGTCATAATTTGAAATCGCCATATTAGCGAAACACCGTAAAGCTGGGCCTACTGTAGTTACATGCATCTACACAATGCACACAGTAGTCTACACATGGAGAAAAAGTTACTGATAGTACCCCACACAAATGGGGTAGTATCAGTATTGGTGTTTCTTATGTCACTTAATACTGTAAAAAGAAAATGCATTTGACAATTTATCTGATTGGAATTTAACTCTATATTTTTCTTTTTGTCATATACCATACCATGCTTTTTGTCTATATATTTTTTTTTTTAACAAGTCGGCCATCTCCCACCAAGGCAGGGTGACCCAAAAAGAAAGAAAAAAAATCCCCAAAAAGAAAATACTTTCATCATCATTCAACACTTTCACCTCACTCACACATAATCACTGTTTTTGCAGAGGTGCTCAGAATACACAACAGTTTAGAAGCATATACGTATAAAGATACACAACATATCCCTCCAAACTGCTAATATACCAAACCCCTCCTTTAGAGTGCAGGCATTGTACTTCCCATTTCTAGGACTCGTCCGGCTATATAAAAATAACCGGTTTCCCTGAATCCCTTAGAATTACTTTTATGAAAATCTTTGTTCTGTAAAAGATCATTAGTTTTAACTTGACAGAAATGCTATGTAACCCGGGGGGGTTTCCAATGCAGGCTTAGCGCTTCTTTTTGATT